ACGTGCGGGGGGGCAGGCCGGGCGCGAGCGGGAAGGCTGCTGCTTACAACCCCTCCTTGTGCAGCCCAGGGCCCGGCCTGGCGCTGGCTCCGGGCACTGTCCGTGACTAGCCAACGGCCTTTGCAAGCCTGCCCCCCCCGCCTCATCTGGCTGGCCGAAAATCACAGGCCCCGTTCCCTGTGGCTGGCGTCTGAGGCTGTGAGACGTAGTGGGGCTGTCTGCTTTGTAACCCGGCGTCCCCACCTGGCTGCGCTGGGCTGTGAGATTCCCAGTGACTCACCCACGTGTGCATTGGCCCAGACACCCCGGCCCAGCCTGGGCAGGTAACAAGGCTCTTCCCAGGGAGAGACAAAGGGAGGGAGGCAGGGACTGGCCCCAGGCTGGGTGCAGGGCCGGGGAGCTGGGTCAGTCTCGGGGCTAGGGCAGTGAGGATGCTCTGGACCAAGGAAGGGGGTGAAGCCCCTCCCCCCAGGAGGACTAAGGCTCTGCCCTGGCTCCTGTGTTAGCTTGGATCCTACGGTGCACCATGTCTCTGAGAAGCAGTAAAACCTTCTCCTCTCCCGGCCGGCGGAGAATCCCCTCTGGCTGCGGACGGGGGGCAGGGCCGGGGCTCCCCGACGCGCTGTCACAGGCTGCGCTTAGCATCTTCCCAAGCAGAGCCGAGACATGGGCGCTGGCTTCCGCCTGGATCCCGGGTGTGAATCTTTGAAAACCAGCAATTACTGGCAGTGCTCATGTCTCTCTCCTTTTGCAATGGTCCGAATGCAGCGGCGCTTTGCAAATTGGACGCCCTTAGAGCCCGTGCGTGTGAACTCTGCTCTGTTCGGATCGGACGGGCGCAAGAGCCTTTCTTGACTCGAGCAACTTCAGACTTATGGTCTTCTGGGCCTGCCCCTCGATAACCAGCCCGCAACATACTGGCTCCTCTGAGCTCTCAGGGCCAGCCTGTGTGTTCTGCCTTGTGTGCCAGCAGCACAGCCGGCGGCCGAGTTCTGGCCGCGCAGCCTGACGCTGGCGGCGCAGGAAGCAGGAAGAGGCGGCTGAGCGCTGCAGTTCCCAGGCAGAGCTTGAGGGGCTGGCAGGTAGAAATATGGGCTTGTCCACAGACTCGGCTGACAAAGGACTCCCCTTGTCAGGTGAACGCGCCTGGGACAAGGTCGATTTCTGCTGTTGTGTGTCAGGCTTGACCAGCACGGTCGCTAGGAAAGCCGGGAGTCGGTTTGGCCGCCCTGGGGCAGCGGCTTGGCTGCACTTGGCAGAGACTTCTCGAAACAGGCTCTGATACTTGGCTTTTCTCCTTTCCCTCAGCGCTCATCAACTTGCTGAAGTTCCTCATGTCCAACGAGACCGTGCTGTTGGCAAAACACAACATCTTCACCTTGGCGCTCATGGTGAGTGTGGCGAGGGCGGGGGCGTGTGGCATGACCCCAGGAGGGGCTGGGGAGTGTGAGCTGCTTTGGTGACCAGGCGGTTAAGTTGTGCAGATATTAACGGACAGATCTACAGCTGGGAGCCAATCCGTGCGAAGGAGCCGTAGGAGACCCCCAAGACAGCCCTTGTGGGCATGAGGGGTGCGGGCAGACGGATGCTTGAGATCATAGAATCACAGAGCTGGAAAAGACCTCGGGAGTCATCACATCCAGCCCCCTGCCCAGAGCAGGACCAGCCCAACTCAGTCAGCCCAGCCAGGACTGTGTCCAGCCGAGACGTAAACACCTCTAGGGAAGGAGATTCCACCCCTCCCTAGGGAACCCAGCCCAGCGCTTCCCCTCGCTCCTAGGGAAATCGTTTTTCCAAATATCCAACCTAGACCTCTCCCACTGTAACTTGAAACCATTGCTCCTTGTTCTGCCATCTGTCACTACTGTGAACAGCCTCGCTCCATCCTCTCTGGAACCTCCCTTCAGGAAGTTGCAGGCTGCTCTCAAATCCCCCCTCACTCTTCTCTTCTGCAGACTAAA